TGTATGTATATTTATCCCTACATGTCTGAGTGTGTGTGTGTGTGTGTGTGTAGGCTTCATTTCCCTTAAGAACTTTCTGATATTATCAATGTTCAAATGTGCTTCTTCAGAATATAATCGATTCATTAGTTTTATCCTTTACGATATATTTATAAGTGTTGAAGAGCTCACCTCACTTGCATTAATTCATATGAATACTCTCTGTCTCGTAAGTATTGTTTTAACTTATAATTTCTGTCTCCTTAAGTTCGTAAACACGGGTCACTTGAAATGAAAGATAATGTTTGTGGGAAAGATCTGAGGCTCGTGTTTTGGCCTGTGTTATATTTATTAGCATTATTACTGTTATTGGTGTTGTTGTTGTTGTTTTTCTCTTTTTTTTTTGGGTGTGTTAGTGTCGTTTGCTTGTTTGTTGTTGCTTTTTTCTCTTCTTTTTTTTCTTTATTTCTTGGGTGTGTTAGTGCTGTTTGGTTGTTTGTTGTTGTGAATTGTTGTTGTTGTTTTTTCTTTTTTTTTAAAATTTATTTCCTGGGTGTGTTAATGCTGTTTGCTTGCTTGTTGTGTTTTTTTTTTCTTTTTCTTTTTTTTGTTTCTTGGGTATGTTAGTGATGTTTGCTTGTTTGTTGTTGTTTATCATTTTTTTTCTCCTCTTTTTTCTTTATTTCTTGGGTGTGTTAGTGCTGCTTGCTTGCTTGTTGTTGTTTTGTTGTTGTTGCTGTTGTTGTTGTTGTTTTGCCTTTTTTGCATGCTTACTTCTTGTATTTGATCACGTAAGATTATCAAGAAAAAAGTCTTCTGGTTGTCTTTTTTTCTTCTACCAAATTGTTTTCGTTTTCTTTTCTTTCTTTCTTTCTTTTAATCTTTTTTTTTTTAGTTTTTGTTTGTTATCGTATTCAATCGCATTATAACATTAATTACTTTCCAGATTCTATCGGGATTAATTCAATCATCAGAAAAGTTGTGTGTGTGTATACATACGTACATACATATATAGATAGCTAGCGTGATAGTTAAATAGATAAATAGATAGACAGATAGATAGATAGATAGAGAGAGAGAGAGAGAGAGAGAGAGAGAGAGAGAGAGAGAGAGAGAGAGAGACAGACAGAGACAGAGAGAGAGAGAGACAGAGAGAGAGAGAGAGAGAGAGAGAGAGAGAGAGAGAGAGAGAGAGAGAGAGAGAGAGACAGAGAGACAGAGAGACAGAGAGAGAGACAGAGAGAGAGACAGACAGAGAGACAGAGAGAGAGACAGAGAGAGAGAGACAGAGAGAGAGAGAGAGAGAGAGAGAGAGAGAGAGAGAGAGAGAGAGAGAGAGAGAGAGAGAGAGAAAGAGAGAGAAAGAAAGAAAAAGAGAGAGAGAGAGAGAAAGAGTAAAATTGGAGAATGGATAGACATAAAGGTAGATATATACATACACAGAGATGGATATTTAGATAAGTAAATATATATTCACAGGATTTAGGAATATAAAATGTTGATATCCATTTTTCTTTTCTTTTTTTCAAATCAGGAAAAAAAATCTAGTCTTTATCATTTCATCTTTTTATCTATCGTTTCTTCTTCCACTTACGTAAATTCGTGGATAGAAGGAATAGGAGGAACAGAAGTAAACTAGAAATTATCTTTCGTTAGTTTTATTACAAAATTGTCACTGGAGTTATAACAAATAAAAATCGGTATCACAGATTCACATACAATGATAAAACAGTCAGAAAAAATTATAATAATAATAATGAAAAAAAAAATGAAAATAATAACACACACTTAACTCATTATAGTATAATTTTTTTCCCTTTTCTTCTCTCTCCCTCTTTTTCTCTCCTAACCCATCTCTTTCTCTCTCTCTCTTATTCCCTCTTTCTCATCCTCTTTCTCTTCTCTCCCTTCTTCCTTCCCCGCCATCTTCTTTATTTTTTTTTTCTCTCTCTCTCTCACTTAGACATCAATTATGATAGAAAAAAAACGTGCAAGCAAATTTCGTACGTAAACACTAAGGCCTTAAGGTCGATTTCTGCATGGATTTCTCTCGATCTTTAGGGCTAGGCTGTTAATGACTGATTTTATCGTAATTGTGTTCATTGTAGTAGGCAACAATTAAGCACTGATTGCTACATGGATAAAACTATATACTTGTTCACTTGTTCATAGTTATATTATCCATATTTGCGTGTTTTTTTTTTTTTTTTTTTTTTTTTTTTTTTTTGAGGGGGTTCTTTTCTTATATTTTTTCCCCCCTTCCCTCTATTCCATTTTCTTTAAAGAGAAAGAAAACGTCGAAGAAATATGACAATGATGATAATAATCGGGATAATAATAATAATAACAATAATAATAATAATAATAATAATGATAATAATAGTAATAATAATGAGTATTCAAGATCACAATCATTTACATATATATATTCTTTTTCTTTCGCATATTAAATAATATTTTGACTGGATGAGTTTTTACGCCCCTTTTTTAGCGAGAGAATGAGGGAGGGGGAGAGAAAAGGAGGGGGAGAGAGGGAGGAAGGAGGGGAGGGAACTTCATTACATATTCATAAACATCTCTCGTACACTTCAGACTCGAGAGAAAGATAAGAGCTTATTATATTTTTCTTCTTTCTTTCTTTTTTTCCCCTCTTTTCAATCTCTCAAGAGTCAGTTTTTTTTTTCCCGAGTGTGTGAGACTCTCTCCTCGAGTGTGACGTCACCTCCTTCAGATCCTCCCAGAGTGTGACGTCATCAGCCTCGTGGAGTTACAGGTAATGACGTCATTGTATCCAAGTGTGACGTCATATATCAGCTGGAACCCGAGTTATGACGTCACATTCGTCGAATAAACAGGTAGCAACGCCACAGAAATCCAAGTGTGACGTCATAAATCGTCCAACCTCCAGAATCCGACGTCATTACCTAGTCACGTGAAACATTATAAATAAATTTCGCTTCCAGCTAGGCGCCATGCAAGGACATCAGACTCAGAAGAAAGTAAAATAAACATTCTACATAAATATATTACCGACATCATCACCAGGAGCCTCCACTCGGCCTACGTCAGAGCTACATCGAAAACACGTCATAGACACGTCATAGCCTACGTCACTCCCATCATCATACAGCAGTCTTAAAAGTTAGTTAGTGATCGTATGCAGATGTTACCTGCTAAGCGTCAAACGGATAAAAAAAGAAAAAAAAAAGAAAAAAAAATACAGACCATTTTCATTCTATGTTCCTTTTTTTAAAGATTTTTTGTTTTTCTTTTCATATCGAGGAGAGGAGAAAAAATACATATATAATATATATAAAAAAGCAATGCATAATAAAGAGTATATATAGTAAGTACACAGGACTAATTCCACAAAAAAGAGAAAAAAATAATAAAACAATACGATATAGGTGAGAGAGACGAGGAAAAAAAAGAAAGAAAAGAAAATGAAAAAGAAAAAGAAAGAGAAAGGAAGAGAAAATGAAATAAGAAAAAAATATATATACGAAGAGAGAGAAAATTCACTATCTACAAAAAAAAGGGAGAACATTAAAAAGTAAAGGAAATTTCTTTATAGCACTTACAACATTCTGTACAGTCAAGTTCCCCTGTCTATGTACAACACCCACCCTAGCCCGCCCACCCCCACCCCCCCAACCCAACCCAGTGTATCTCTGTTCCCCTTTCTTATAAATACAGCAAATGAGAGAGGCAATAAACCAGGAAAGGCGAATATATTTGAGGGAGAAAATTTGTACAAAAATGATCTTCACCAAAAAATATAATACATTCATTCGCTTGAAGAAAAAAAATATATATATAGATATAGATATATATATAAAAAAAAGATGAACAAATTCAGCGAAATGTGGATACGTTTTAGTCTCTGTATCCTCTTCTTCTCGTTTTGTTTTTTATGCATTTTGATTATTATTTTTTTGTGTTTATCGTTTATTTACGCTATTCTGTTGTTTATTCATTCTCCCAAATAGATTCACACTTCCCACAAAATCGATGGAAACGACTGTTAGATTTGGAAAAAAAGGAAGGAGGAGGGGAAAAGGGAGGAAGAGGAGGAGGAGGAGGAGAAGGAGAAGGAGGGGGAAGAGGAGGAAGAGGAGGAGGAGGGGAGAGAGGAGGAAAACAAAGAGGTTTTGGTGGTTAAGGAAGAAAAGGAAGAGGAAAAGGAGGAGGAGGAGGAGGAGGAGGAGGAGGAGGAGGAGGAGGAGGAGGAGGAGGAGGAAGGGCGGGTGGAAAATATAATTTACAAATGTTTCGTTTTAAATTATGAAATTATAATTATATAAATTGTAATCTAACAGTCACTTCCGCGGCGTTACAAATTATCTTAAACACCTTTTGGACGACATCAATCCGACATTATATTTTTTTTTTAGCATTTTTTATATTTTTTTGTGAGAATTCTGTTTTTTTTTCCTTCTTCAAATATCTGGATTGTCACGTGACAAAAATAGGGTTTACTTTGTTTGTTTGTATTTGTCGTGAAATACTATTTTTTGTAGGTTGTTTTTTTTTTTAGTTTTGTTTTGTAATTGTAGTTGTCTCTCTATAACATCCATACATTATACAATTCTACAATTAAATTCCACACACTTCATTATCAAATAGAGCACAAAAAAAAATCAAATGTGATGGATATAAACTCAGAAATAATATTAACACTTTCTTAACTTAGTATTACTTTTTTTGTCCATTTGTCCATTTGTTTGTTTGTTTGTTTGTTTGTTTTTTTCCATAGCCAGACTCAGATGACGTCATCATAGCAAAATCCGTGACGTCACCGAGGACCTGCGCATAGATATCTTTGGTTGGCGAGTTGTGCGCACGTCGACGGGGGCGGAGGCGAGGGCAAGGGGGGGGCAGGGGCATGTCGGGTATGTGGGCGTGGGCAGGGAGGGTGTGAGGGGGGAGGAGGGGAGGGGAGGAGGGGTAGGGGGATGAGGGCGTAGGTAGGGAGAGGGAGGTTGGGGGGGGGGAGGGGGGGCATTTCGGGTATGTGAGGCCGGGTAGTGTGGGGGGGAGGTTGGGGGGGAAGGGGTATAGATGCCCGTTACCATGCCAAGATCTCCGAGCTCTGGTGATCGCTGAACCCGCCTGTTGGGGGGGGGGAGAGAAAAAAGATGGCGTTACGGACGAGAAAATGTAGGCTATAGACATAAAAATATTATTGTCATTTTTACCTTGCTCTATTTGTTTTGTTTTTTATTTACCTATCTATCTATCTATCTGTCTATCTATCTACACAGAGATGAAGCTAAACATCTAAAATAAGAAACAGAAAGTTCAAAATCTAAAAAAAATAATAAAATCTGGCCATAGCATAGGCCTACTCACCGCCATGGACCATTTCTTCGGAGGGCGACGTCATGGGGGGGTGGGGGGGGCATGCCTCGCCCATCATGGTGGCCATGGGCGGCATCCCGGGGAACTCAGCGGCGCCCATGGGTCCGCCTGGGGGGAGGGGCTGCTCCATGCCAGGGCCCACTGCGGGGGGAGAGGGGAGGGAGAGAGGTTAGATTAGAAAGAAAGGAGACAAAGGGACACATTTTGGGCATCGTTATTTGCAAAGATAAACATAAACAAAAACATAAACATAAACACACACACACACAAGCACACGGACACACAAACACACACAAAGACATCGTCATTTGCAAAGATAAACATAAACATAAACATAAACACACACACACACACACAAAAAACTATAACAAAACACACACACACACACACACAAAAACTATAACAAAAACTCCCACCACGCGACACTCACTGTGCGGATAGCCCATAGGCTGCTGGGGACCGAAGTAGCCGGGGAACTGCTGTCCGGGGAACCCATTGTAGCCGGGGAAGAAGCCGTAGCCGTCCTCCATACCCAGGGGCAGGTCGCGCAGCTTCCGTGGGTTGGCGAAGAGGTGTGCCCGCATGCCCATGGTCGTGAGCTGTTTCATTCGCCGCTCTTTGCTTCGCTTGTTCTGGAACCAAACCTGGAATGGGGGGGAGAAAGAGTGGGGGGTGAGACGAGGGGGTGAAGAAGAGATTTTGAGATTTTGGTTTTCGTGGGGGGCGGGGGGAGATTTTGATTTTCGTGGGGGGGCGGGGGTAGATGTATGTAAATTTATGATAAGAACATAAGATGATAAGAACAATAACAGCAGTAATACTAATATCAGTAATATCAACAATAACGTCAATGATAATAATAACAATAATAATATCAACAACAGCATTAATAATAATAAATATTTTTGCAACCAGCTTTCCCAAGAAACAAAACAAACACAGCAACAAACACAGCAACCACAACAACAAGAAAAAAACAAAAACACACACAAAAATAAAGGGAAATTCTCTCGCATCAACAAAAGCGCAATAAAACACGGCCATCCACGCTTTCCACGGGATTATGTTCTCTTCCCAGTCACCTTCTGTTACGCACCATCTGCCTCGCCGTTTCCTCCTGCTGAGTATGAAACCCCTGCGACGTCTACCCCCCCCCTTCCCCCCTTCACACTCCCCCCCCCATTCCCCTCCTACCTTATTCCCTTCCTCTTGCCCTTATATGTAACTTGCCCTAATTTTCTCTTTCTCTCGTTCTTTTCTATTTCATTCTCATTCTCTCTCTCCCTCTTTCTCTCTCTCTCTCTCTCTCTCTCTCTCTCTCTCTCTCTCTCGCTTTTTTTTAGGGGGGGGCGGAGGTAGGGTGTCCTTTTTTCAGTCTATCTGTTTGTTTGTCTATCTCTTTCCCTCTTTCTCTCTCTTTCTCTCCTTCCACCCTCCTTCCCTCCCTACCCTCCTTCCCTCGCGTCTATTCCTATTCCATCTTTTTCTTCTCACATATTCTCCTTTACCATCCTTATTTCCCCCCCCCCCCCTGTAATTTTTCTACACCATAAGACGTTTCAATCAAGAGCCTCATGCAACCAATTTCAGTCGCTTCTTATACGACGACCAAAGCGTTAATTATTCGGAACGACAACAGAAATCAACAGTTGAAATGTGAGAACGTGACGCGGGAGAGAGAGAGAGAGAGAGAGAGGGGGGGGGGGAGAGAGTGAGAGGGAGGGGGGGGAGGGAGAGGGAGAGGGAGGGAGAGGGAGGGAGAGGAAGGGAGGGAGGGAGGGAGAGGGAGGGAGAGGAAGGGAGGGAGGGAGGGAGAGGAGAGAGGAGAGAAGAGAGGAGGAGAGAAAAAGAGAGAAAGAGAAGAGAGAGAGAAAGAGAGAGAGAGAGAAAGAAAGAGAGAAAGAGAAGAGAGAGAAGAGAGAGAGAGAGAGAGAGAGAGGAGAAGAGAGAGAGAAGAGAGAGAAGAGAAGAGAGAGAGAGAGAGAGAGAGAGAGAGAGGGGGGGCCGGTTCTCCGCTACGGTGACAACACAAACAAACGCCACACTACTCCAGCTAATTTGGGGGGGGTCTAAGCAGCCAATTACCGAGAGCAGTGGGGGGGCGAGGCGGTCGAGCTTTCATGTTCCTCTCGCGCTGTCACCCCGCCCCCCCTTCCCCCA